TCCCTTTGCCTGATTCTCCACAGCATGATTTTCTCTAAGACTATCCGAAGTCCCAAAGTTTTGGATCTTTTGCTTTAGAAGGAGAATACGACACCTTTCCACAGGATAATCTGAACCCTAAATCTAAAGGGAGCATGTTTTGCGTGACACTCTGAAAGACTAGCAGATGCAGGACGGTAGAGGTGGCCCTCTCATGAGCAAGCACAGACTCTCCTCTTAGGATATGCAGAACAGAAACCAGGGTTGTATCTTTTCCCTCATAGTCCCTCATTAGGAATCAGCCATGGCTGTTTTGAGGACAGGCTCACAAAGGGGCCTTCTGCCTCTTCCTGAGCTTCTCTCCCTAAAGTTGAGTCCTTCAGTTTCTGTCTCCCTGGTGGAATATATTTACCTTCATATCAAAGGAATGTCAGAGCCATGTTCTTGGGGAGGAGTACAAGATTTTGCCCTTACTTATTATTTCCTTTCCAGCACAAAATGTAAAGAGAGGGCTTTTCTTTAAAGAGCCCATTATAGTACTTTCTCTGGGGGTGGCAAGAAAGGCATTGTGCTGAGACACATGAAAATCATGAAGACACTAAAGATATGCAGTATTTTCTGGAGAGATAAACCCAGGCTGACAGAGGCAATTTGAGGGCAGATATCTTATGTGTTTTCTTTGGGAGAAATCCAACATATACTCGATGGCATCTGACACACCCAGGATTGTGAGGCATGTCAATCCTATGCTCAGACAATGCAAATTCCCTTTACATTACATGTTTTTTTAGAGGCGAGGGGAATGTTCTGTGTCACACTAATGACTTACACACGTGCGCGCGCGCGCACACACACACACACACACACAGTTTCTGATGACTGGAAGTCTACAATTAGAATTGAATTCCTTGAAGTATAAACTTTCAGCTATAAGATGAATAAGATCTGAGGTAGTAAAACATGGTGATTATAGTTGAAAATACTGTATTGTATCATTGAAATTTGCTAAGAGGATAGAACTTAAATGTTCTCACACACGCACAAAAGATTAATATGAGAGGTGATGGATGTGTTAATTAAATAGATAGGGGGAATCCATATGCATATACGTATATCAAATCACCATGATATACACTTTAAACCTTATAATTTTATATGGCAAGTACATCTCAATAAAGCTAAAATAAAACAAACAAACTAAAAATAAAATAAAATAAAATAAAACCCAAGCAAACAACAACAATAAAAAAATAGAATTGCATTTCTTTAGCCTAAGCCCCTGATTCTTGTTAAGTTATAAGAACCTTGGAATATCAGGTTTTGGGCATTTTGGTAGGGCAGATTTTGGTGGGGAAAATCTGGGAAGGAGAATTTAAGGATCTTGAGGGTTCCAGAGTGGGCTTTGCAGAAGCTCCTCCAAGGGGTAAGGTTGATGTAATACTGTCCAGAACAGAGAGAAACTTTGCTTTACAAATCTGAAGCAAACGATGAAGGACCTTATTAGCTGTGGATTTTAGGTTCCTTTTAAAACTGGAAGCATTATTTTATTTTTAACACTATGTCATAAATGCTTCAAAAAGTTACCCTACAATTTCTAGGAGATGCCTGTTCCTCAGAACCTGAGGGCACTGTGCATGGGCTTGTGATGTGAGTGAAATTTTTTGTGTATGTTTGAATTACATCTGGAGAGAGTCCATAGCTTTTGCCAGGATCATAAAAAGGTCCTAAGGAATTGGAGCAAGAAGACCTGGCAACGTAGTCAGAGCCTCTGAAACACTCAAAGTTCGAGGTCAGGGGTGCTTTCACCAGCTTGTTGGGGCACAGGTACTGGGACAAGTCTGTTGGCTCTGGGACCTGCCTGCGCACCCTAGTCTGTGGAAGGCCCTCCTACCATCACATGAACCTTGTCCTTCAAAGGTCCTCATGTCTCCTTTGGGCTTTTAAAAAGAAAAACTCATTTTTTAATTTTTTCCGAACACAAAAGTAGAAACTTAGAAAATGTGGAAAAACATAGTGAAGACAATAAAAATTAGTCATAATCTTACTAATTAATTAATCACTGTAAACATTTTGAGATAGTCCCATTCAGATTTTTTCTTTTTCTTTTGTCTTTTTAAGAGGGTGTTGAGGTCATAGAATGTCTACGAATAGAGGCCTTTTCACTGAACGTTACATCATAATCATCTTGCTTGCCATTAAAAAGTCTTTATAAGCATCATTTTCAGTGGCTGCACAATATTCCATTATATGGCTGTACTATAGCTTACTTACCCATTCTTCTAGTGTTGGGCATTTGCATTGTTCTCAGCTTTTTGCTTTAATAAATAATGCATGAGAAGCATCTCTGGGCAAGAAACTGTGCTTACATTTTAGATGATTTCTTTATGATAGATTCCTAGAAGTCTCTTTTGACTTTTGAAGATATTATGAGTTAAGATGTTGCTGAAATCCAACTGTAAAGTGTGAATTTTGCAAAAGACTGTGGGCAGAGAGGTGGGGCCGGACATCTATACTCACTGGGCTTCTGTGGTACACACAACACACCTCTAGGTGCTGGGGGTGTAGTAGAGACTTAAGAAATTAGAAGACCCAGCCTTTATCCTTGAGAGACTTAACGTATAGTGTGGAACCACAACTTACGTAAATAGGCTAAAGGAAGAGATGCCCATATCAGATCCTTCGGGAGCCATGTGTGAATTTCAGAATGCGGTAGTTTTGTGTATATGTTCACATTGCATTTTCTGGAGAGGGAGTCTATAGCTTTCATCAGAATCTTTTCATCTACAGAGCTACAAAGAATTTTAGTGATTGTTTTGGGTGTGTGGAGGGAGAGTGAATTAATTTTCCCAGTTTACATTTTTCTTTTACTATTTCATTTTATAGTTTTATAATAGAAAAAAATAAAATCGACTTTTTTTTTTTTCCACGTGCTGTTAATATGACTGATAGAGTGTAACAAGAAGAGGGCAGTCAGGAGTCCTGGTTTTGGGGATCTTGAGGTAGGGTATAGGAGAGGCCATAGCCTGTACCCAACAGGTGTGAGACAGATTTTGGAAGCATTTGTCACCTGTCTCTGCAGTGACCTACCAATCCGTTTACATGTAAATCTGCTCCTGCCAGCATGAGCAGGTGTTACATGACCCTAATGCCCACAGGACCATATTATCAGAACATTAGGTTATGCAGGTGCATGGCACTTTGGTAATACAAACCAATGTTTCCTCATCCCTCTGCTAGAGCCTCAGTCCTCACCTAGTTGCTCAGAGTTAAAGGTGCTTCTTATTCTCATTCATGGTCATAGGAAAGCCAGCCAGCTTTCCTGATAAGGAGATGTAGAAAAGGCAAGGAGATATGGTAACCATCTAGCCTCCAGGCCCTTCATTCAGGGCCAGAATTAGATGTGCACGTGGAAATTGACAGCTATCGATTGTATTTATTTTCCAAACTCTGTTCTGCCCATGTCTATTATTTGGCTAGTTCTTCCAATGGGAAAATGAGAGAGCCATTTGCTTAGGCTCTGGCCTTTTCCAGGCATCTCTACTGTACAAATACATACAGTTGCAGGACTTTCACGGAACCCTATCTCAGCTCGACCTGAGAATTTGTGGATTTTGTCCAGTTAAGCGCCCATAGACAGGATGACTGGGATGGGGGCGTGTGTCTCATCACTCCCTTTCCCCAGTGGTATCTCCCTCACCTGAGGCTGGAGTGCCCAGGACCCGATTAGAGGGTCTATGTGCAGAGCATGACTGGACAACAGAGACCTGCCCCGGCAGGCATGTGCCTTAACTAGGAAGCTCCCCTAGACTTTTCACCTAGCATCCTTCAATCTGGCTTGCTAACAAAATTCATATAATTCCCTCTCTTTTTTTGGTGGTCGGGGGAAGTTCAAGTTGGCTCTTTTTCCAGGTTTAGGTGATTTGTTTTTCTTTTGAAGGACTCATGGCTTCTGGCTTCTGTGGAATAAATCCCTCTCCTTCCCTGTCATTCTCCTTTCTTCTGATGCTTTGTTTTCTCTGGACCCAGAACAACTTAGTCGTGTGAAGGGCTTTCATATACCTGTAATTTATGCAGTCATCACATAAGCCTCAGTTCCATTGGCCAAAAGCACCAAACCCCACCGTGAGACAGTCGGGGAGGAACCGGCCACTGCCCACTTCAGGTACAGGGAATAGTTGCTCTTCCCGTAAGGAGCCGGAAAACACTAAACCAACACATCTGTGACCACTGCCGGCCCTAATTCATAATGCAAAGTAAACAAGCAAGATAACACTCAAAATATAATCTTTGTTGGTGGTTGTAAGGAAGACAGCTTAGACCTTTGAAGGATATCATTAAGAAATTCCTCCTCATACTTAATCAGACTCACCTTGGCCATGATTTAAGCTTATGAATTCTGGTTCTATCCAGACAGAGACACTGTTTTTTCCTCCACATATGATGTTTTAAATAATACATTTCAAATAAAAGTTATATTTTACATATTAAAAAATATAAAACATTTTATATGTAAGATAATTCTAATAAAACATATTTCATATTACATGTAAAAAGATTACATTGTATGATTTACTAGAACTCATATTTTATATTTAAATATTTTAAATATGTAAATATTTTACGAGTAACATATTTGTGTATAAAATGTTATATACATAAAATATTAAATGAGGCATTTTATATTATATTGTAAATATTTTAAAATATTTCAAAACATTTCTAAAATATGGGCTATTTAAATATTTTAAAATAAATCAACGTTTATATCAACGCCGATGGTTTAATACTAAAATTAAGTAGTTCGGCTTAACTATGTGATAACTGAATACACGATATTGAAATATATAGAATATACCATTTTTACATAAATAAAAGGTGTTATAAAATATTCTTAAATAGTAATAAGATTATCCCATCAGGTCCGCTTCCCCTTCCAAGGATTAAAGTCTGGGGGCCACAGCGCCCCCTATCACTCCCTCTCTTCCAGTGCCCTGATCTGCCGTTTTTCCTCCCGCCTACAGGCATCGGCAAGAATGTCATCTGCGACCGCACCGCCACGCCACTGGACGCCTTCCGCATGATGTCGGCCGCGCACTACTACCCCAAGCTCATGAGCATCATGGGCAACGTGCTGCGTTTCCTCCCGGCCTTCGTGCGCATGAAGCAGCTCATCGAGGAGGGCTACGTGGGCGAGCTGCTGGTGTGCGAGGTGCAAGTGCACAGCGGTAGCCTCCTGGGCAAGAAGTACAACTGGAGCTGCGACGACTTGATGGGCGGCGGTGGCCTGCACTCAGTGGGCACCTACATCATCGACCTGCTCACCTTCCTCACCGGCCAGAAGGCGGTCAAGGTCCATGGGCTGCTCAAGACCTTCGTGAAACAGACCGACCACATCAAGGGCATCCGCCAGATCACCAGCGATGACTTCTGCACCTTCCAGATGGTACTGGAGGGCGGGGTGTGCTGCACTGTCACCCTCAACTTCAATGTCCCCGGCGAGTTCAAGCAGGATGTGACCGTGGTGGGTTCGGCCGGGCGCCTGCTGGCAGCAGGCACAGACCTGTACGGGCAGCGCAACAGCGCCGCGGAGCAGGAGCTGCTGCTGCAGGACGCCACGCCTGTCAGCAACTCCCTGCTGCCCGAGAAGGCCTTCAGCGACATCCCCTCGCCCTACCTGCGTGGCACCATCAAGATGATGCAGGCCGTGCGCCAGGCCTTCCAGGACCAGGATGACCGGCGCACGTGGGACGGACGGCCTCTCACCATGGCTGCCACCTTCGACGACTGCCTGTATGCCCTCTGCGTAGTGGACACCATCAAGAGGTCCAGCCAGACGGGCGAGTGGCAGAACATTGCCATCATGACCGAGGAACCTGAGCTAAGCCCTGCCTACCTGATCAGCGAAGCCATGCGCCGGAGCAGGATGTCCCTGTACTGTTAGCACAGACTGGGAGTATAGGCCTTCTGCATTGGGCCCAAGGAGGGGGAAAGGCACGGGAGAGAGGTGGCCTAGGAAGAGTGTGAGTTAGAGAGGTGGAGGGACATGGGAATAATGGCATCTGGGAAGGTGAACCCCAGCCCAGGTGAAGAGTTCCAAACAAGACTGTTGGGAGGCTGAGCGAATAGCCAGAGGGCCTGCCTTTCCTGAGATCATCCCTGCTGGGCATTTGCTCCAGAGGAAGGAGGTTCAGCTGCCTCTGCTGCTTTTTTCTGTGAGAAGCAAGGAGGGGTGGCTTTCTTCATCATCTCATCCACTCCCCACACTTTGGCCTCCTTTGCAAGCCAAGTGCTCCTGTGAGGTCAAGGCTCCATATCTGATAGCAAGTTTAATTGGTGTAGGCTCCCTGCAACCCCTACACACAACTGGCAGGAGATAGCACATCCTCACATATCCACACAAGTCTTGTTAGTCTGGGGAAAGGTGGGGGTGCGGTGAGTTGAAGAGAAAGTTCAAATTCCACGAAAGCCACCTTAAGCGTCTGAAGGAAAAAGTATTTGGCAGCAAAGTGTACAGCTTTCTTGATTGACTGGTCTTCCTCATAGGAAGAACAAGTACTGTCTTCCTGATAGGCTCACTGCCCTTTACCTGGCCTCAGGTGGGTTAAGGGAGTGCCAGGAATGGCCAGCAGAGAGATGGGTTCTTTCAGCCAAAGAGGGAGAGCAAGAAAACAGATGAGGCAAAGAATAAAATATCCTTTTGAATTATAAAACTATAATGAGCCACCTTATAACACTACCTGTGGAGTAGAATTGAGTGTAAGAGGAATCCTGTACTGAAGTGTTGTCCTTTCAACTGGCTTTCTAGGCAGGGCCATGGAGACAGCAGGAGATGTGGGTCTGACTACAAGCTCATATGCTACCCTCAAGAACTGGGAACAGCTGTGTGCCCCAGTGTTGCAGTGGGTGTTCTCCAGCAGAAGGGACAGTGAGCCAGCCCTGGACTTGCTTCATGCTCAAACACCCATCTCTCCTACTGAGCTGGGGAATGGCTTTTAGAAGAGTCACCCAGCTTGTGGATTTAAAAGGGAAGTCTTCAGTTATAACTCATATAATTCTCTTCCCTTAAAAAAAAATCAAGGTTCTTTTTCCTTTGCTTTCACTATTCTAATACCCCCACCCAAATTTTAATAGGTATTAAAACAAAAAGGCAACAAAGAGCATAATATTCAGTGTTTCTAAAATGGGGTTTTAGATCTCTCTCAGGTGTACCTTCATGTAGGGTTGAGAAGCTAATGTTGAAAAAAACATTCTATTCCTTGGGCTCCTTTCTCTCTTGTCTTGTCACCCTCTGCTTACAGAGCTTTTATTGGAGCTGGCAGACTGCAGGCTCAGAGCAGGCAGTGCCAGAAGGGAACAACCTAGGGCACAAACACACACAAGGGTTTGTAAATGCTCACTACCACCAAATGTCACTAAGATCGCTCTTAAAAATTCAGACCTTGTCTTGAAAGACAGACCAAGTCAAATGCATTTTGAAAACAGGGAATTGTCCTTTTGTTATTTTTGCTTAGTCCTTCATTCTACAGAAGACATTTGTCAGGGTTGGATGTGGAGACTAGTACTTGTAAATCAACAGCTTCACAGCTCACAGAAATACAGCAGTTGTCTTTGGCACGCAACTGAGGTTTAGACTGCTTTTCAAATAACTGGCAGTAGAACTTGAAGAAAATTTCAGGGGCCAAGAGTCCTTCACTCCTCTACACGCCCCCTGGCTCTGAGTAAGCAGACACTGAAAATGAATGGAACCATCAGTTGTGTCCTCCATTCTCCTCCCAGAGTCAGTGCACAATGGAGCCCAGGCTGCCTGGGAGTGCAGTGTAGGCATGTCCAAACGTCATGGGAATCGTGGTCATTTTCTAGCACAGAGGAGCAAGGCTTGCCTTCCTGGAAACAATCACCCTATTTCCTGGGGCCTTTACTACAACATGGTATGGTTAGTGGGCTGAAACTCTCTGTGGTATGTTAATGGTCCCTGTCTGTTTTCAGACTTCATGATGAAATGCCAGCTTTTGTAGCTATCAGTTCAAAACTAGAAATTTGGTAAAATGGAAGTCTCCCAGTAATAATTTGAGCAGAGGGCCATACCATGGACTGTTTTGGTTTAGGTTCTCCTAAATTGCCCTCAGGATAGCTTTTGTGGAAACTTTAGTGGAATGATTTTTTTTTTTTTTTTTTCCTAGCTAGCCTGAAAGGCTGTGGTTAAGGAAAAAAGGACAGGAAACTAGAAGACTCTCTGGTCTCATTTTTCTAAGTTGTTCATAATCTAAGTAGGGAATTTAGGGGGGGTTTCAATTTGACGTTTCTATATTTAACCAAAATACTTGGGAGGATTTTATTTCTTCCAAAGGCCTCTGAGCTCTGTGATAGTCAGTGTCTAAAACAGAAATTCTTATTGGAGGCTGGGATATATAGAAAGAATATATGTTGTTTAAAAGAAGCATGAGAAATATTTTAGTAAGTGTATTCAAATATTAGCTATTGAAATGCATGTAATAGGTAGATGCAGGAATGAGGGGAAGACTGAGATCGTTCTTTTTTTAATACGAAAATGATAGCCAATGGGTTTAAGATACTTCTTTAGTACTCCTTTTGTTCCTGTCTCACCACATGCAAAGACTTGATTGAGAGCTGCAATATTTAGCTGAAATCTCAAAATCATGCCCTCAGGGGTCTGGGTACCATCAGCTGACTTTGACCTAGAATAAGTCTCAGCAATAATCAAGCTCTCTCTGCTTTGTTTATTGTGTTTCAAGGACCCAATATAATGGAGGCATCACTTCAGAGTCATCACATCTAGTTCCCTTTGACTGATTTCTTACCATCCTTGTTTGGATGAAAATTTTGGCTCATGCTGCTGGACACCTCTACAGCTGTCCCAAATTCTGAATTCTGAGAGAGTGGGTAGGCCAGGAGTTCTTACAGTGGCATCCACAGTGTTTGGGCATGCTCTGGGCTTATTTGGAAAGTTTATATTCCCTGCATTTTCTTCTGGAAAGAGAGTCCATGACCACTGTCAGTTTCTCCACAATTTCTCCTTTCAATGAGAGGCATGGCAGGGGACTACAGATACTCCTTAACCTACCTGGCAGCAGATACCTCTGTGTCAGGTGTATCTGAACTCTAGCAGCGGTCTTGGCCAATTCTTACTCAAGATGAACTTCTCCCAGAGCCTTCTCCCTTTGCAAAGAGCCATCCAAGTACTCTTTGCTCCAGCATTTCTTGATATCCACTGTGTGCAAGGTATTTTCAGTACATTACCTCATTCAATCCATGAAAAACAACCCCATCATATTAAATATTGTTATTCCCAATTTACACATGAGAAAATCGAGGCTCTGAGTAGAAAAAGAAGTTGCTCAGTCACACAACTATTAAGCAGAAGTGGGGTGTCCTGAATCTGAACCACATTGCCTCCAAGAAGAAAGATTTGTTCCTCGGTATTTTTTTCAGGCAGGAAAGTAGTCCTTGTCCAACACTGTCAGATCTGCTCTCATGCCCTGTGGAGCATCTGTGATTAGAGCTGAATGTGACCTGCATGGGCCTCCCCTCTACTGCTGTGACACCCTCCTGTTGAGCAGGATGCCACATCTGATGTTCTGCCAGAAGGTTGTTTAGAGCTGCAAATGGAAGTAGTCAATTTTTCCTCCCCTTCTAAGATGGAAATATCACTCAACTTCTTTTAAAATCGACTTCCTAACTTACCGTTGATTGTAGGTAATGCAGCAAACTGCAGAGTTGGGGATTTTTAAAACGTCATTGGCCGATTATGATAGATGGCCTTGGCGTTTCCTCTCAGCGGTCTGAGTATAACGTAGGAAAATGTCTTTTCTCAGGGAGTGGAGCTTTTTTAAGTTCATGTGTTTGTGACTCAGATTTTAGCTGTATATTGCATTCGTTCCTTTATACTCTCTTTACTCTCTTCATCTTGTCTCATAGCCACAGTTGTTGCATTTGACCTGTGGTCATAAATTAGGTTTCTGATTCCATCTGTTTTACTCTGGTGGGTATGGGGCATTCAGCATTACTGATGCTATCCTGGGGAGAAAGTAAATCCAGTTGCATCTGAAGAGACTTCAGAACCCAATATGGTCAGTTCCTTTATTTTACAAGAAGTTAAGTGATGGCCAAGGTCACACTGCTTCTTAGTGGTAGAGCCAGGCTGGAAGCCCAGTTTCTGACTCTAAGTCACATCCTGCCTCACACAGCACCTTCAGATCTCTCAGATTGGGAGAGGGAGGCTCAGAGAGGTAAAAAAAACTTGTCCGAGGTCCCATGGCTAGTTGGTGGAAGAGTCGCAATTAGAACTCAATCTGCAACGGACTGTATTTCCTGAGCTGTTGCAGCTGAATCAATTTTCCAGGAACTCACTTATGTCTTGAATGTACTCATAAAACTAGCAGTTTAAAATGTCCCATTGTGATTGTAATGTGAAGTTATCTCTAATTTGTATTGTATTTGGCGAGGATGGGACATAATTTCAGATGTGTACCTTCGGTGTGTCCTGAGACCTGCTCTACTTATACTCCCCCTACACCTCTTCTAGATACAGATCTAGCTTAAGACTCCTGTTCCACCTATCGCTGACTTTTTTGGGGCCAATCAAAGCCCTGAAGTTTACCAGGCAGAGGCCATGACATTGGGGAGCTCATTAAAAAATCAACTATCAGAGCCCTGCATTTCAGTTCTTTTTTGGGGACAGGAAGGAGCACAATGAAGGAAAAGCTGTGCACTTCAGTCTTAACCGGCAGCCAGCATCCCTAACCCTAGGCAGAAGAGGGGGCAGATGGGGGTGTTCCATTTCAGGGGACAGTCCTGACTTCATTGGGCTGCCAGGACTTCTCACAAGAGGAGGGAAGACTCCTGTGCTGCTTTAAGAGGTGATGGGCTCTAGCGGTCTCATTGGAGTCTGGAGGTGAGGCCAGTACCGTATCTGAGTGACCATATCAGTTGGCAGTGTAAGATGGTGGCCTACTGACCTTTTCCTTCTCCACGTCACAGTCTCTATTTGCTGGAGCCCTTGGGAGGGCTACTGAAGTGTCTGGCTCTCAGGCTATTCAAGCGTTGCACTACTGAATACTCCTGAATCTGTTGTACCTGTTTCTGTTTACACCAGCAGTGAGTAGAGGAATGACAAGACCACTTTATATGTCATGGTCGTAGGCTTAGTGTGGCAATCAAAAGCTTACCTGGGCAGGTGGCCAGGGCCTACAGAATAACCATGGCGTCACATTGTCTCTGTCTCTCTCTCTTTCCTTACCCAGCCTTCTGTTGTCCTCTGCAGCCATCACAAGGGCTAAGCTGTCAGATGAGCCGCTTGGTTTCTCCTTATGAATGCAATGACTTACTTGTGATTCTAGTCTAATTCCAGGTAGAGAAACAAAACAAAAGCAAGTGACTTGACCAGCTCCATTGCTCCCCTCCTTCTCTTTCAGGCATCCAAATGCATTTAGTATTCTGTCCCTGTGCCTTGCCCAGGGGAAGGAGAAGTTTCTAGCAATTATGGCTTTCTGTTTGTTGCCTGGTGCTTTTACAGTACTTCATTTTTTTTTTTAAACCAAAATTGCATTTGTTTGGTTGTCATTGTCAAATATATATTTATTGTGTTTTACAAATATGAGTATATAAATGTATGTATATGTATAAAACCAAACTTATGTATAAAAAGTCAAGGCATGTATACTAGATATTTTAAAGAATTATTTATCAAGGGAAAAAGATCTGTGTTATAAAGTAAAAAGAGTCTATATTTTCTATATAATGTAGATAGCAAAAAATAGCTTATAAATTATAGAAGGTTTTGGTTTTTTTATCATTAAAGAAAAAAAAGGACAATGAATGCAGCTGTTCTTCATGTTTCAAAGGCCAAACTCCTGTGGGAGGCGGCCTTCCCTACTGGGCTCACGGCCGTGCAGTCTGTGCTCCAGGCCTGGGAGCCGATGCCCAGTGCCACCCCTGCGATGTTCGTGCGCCGTGGTTGGCATCACTCAACCAGCTGGCATGTGCCACTTCACACATGGCTTCTTGCTGTTCTCCACAGTTTGCATTGGTGGGATAAAGGAATGAGAGTAGTAAATAAAAATTGAAGAGAAGAAACGATTCTAGCTGTTTATCTGTTTATTAGATGCAGGTGCTCTAGCCCATGAGTCAGGTACCTGGCCAGTTTGTGGGATCTGAAGCAAGAATGGGGGTGGGAATAATGGTGGTGCATTGGAGTGTGTGTGTGTGTGTGTGTGTGTGTGCAGCGTGGAGAGAGGCTGTTCATGTGTCAGCATCCGTGAAGCTGAACAATGGGAATCAACTGACCTGCTTTTTGATTGTAGATGTATTGAGTGTTAGAAGTGGAGGCACTCTGGAGCAATCTAGTTCAAACTCTCATTTTGGAATTGTGGAAATGGGATGGTGGTGCATTGGGGTGTGTGTGTGTGTGTGTGCATGCGTGCAGCGTGGAGAGAGGCTGTTCATGTGTCAGCATCCGTGAAGCTGAACAATGGGAATCAACTGACCTGCTTTTTGATTGTAGATATATTGAGTGTTAGAAGTGGAGGCACTCTGGAGCAATCTAGTTCAAACTCTCATTTTGGAATTGTGGAAATGGAGGGGAGATAACCTCTCCAAGGCTACTGTGTGTGTGTGTGTGTGTGTGTGTAAAAGCCTAGTCATATTCAACAAGAAGAGGACGACATGGATTGTAGAACGGGGAGCTAATTTTAGAATTCCCTATTATTTTGCTATCTTAACCTAATACTTCACACCAAGCTCTGAAAGACACTTTCTAACAGGTTCAGTTGACTATTTACAAAAGCATCTTTGCTTACTTTGTTCTTAGCAGCATTTAACTAGACCAGCATGAAGTGAGCTCAGCCTAATTTCAAATCTGCATGACACAAGGTCTCTCATGGATGGGCTAGCCTTTCCTTTCCATCCTGTACTGTCTCAGAAAATGCACACAGGGAATTCTTCTGGTCGTGCCTCTCCTTCACTTAAAATTAGTTAAGAATTAGAAAAATTATACAAAAACTGAGATCTCATTATTCATTTCTTCACGTACAGGTCCTGATGTTAATGCATTCAAAACGCAGCCCGTGCAATGAGACAATAAATTGCAGCCAACCCCTGCATTCACATGGATTATTACAGTATACACACAACAGTCTCACACCTTATAACACTGTCATGATTCCAAGAGCAATTCTGAAGTAGGAAGTAAGGCAGAGTGCTTTGTCAAAGGAGAAACTGCGATCTGCACATAAAAGGTATGGTTACGATGGGGTCCAGTCCTCCGAGTTTCTCCCAGCAGAGTGGCCTGGGAACTCTACACTCCTAAGCATTCGTGTACATATTAAATCTAAGAGCTAGTTGTTCCTTCACAGATTTGGAATCTCTTTGTGATGTTGGTGTCTCTCAGTTTAAACCCATTCCTTTTTTCATAAACCAGGGATTATACTGTTTCCTACTACATCATAGGATGTGCTCAGTGTTGCTTTCATAGTCTCTGAATTGTTGCTTTAAAAGAACAGATGCGATTACATCGCAAGCCATTCCGGTTGCTGTTTACTGGCCAAATGAAGAAACATCTATGTATCTTCTACGCCCATCTACCTCTCCCCTCAACCTGCCCCTCCCCTGCTACAGATACACGGAATGATTTTCTAGTTTCTTTTATCTCCTACTCCTATTATTTTGTGCATTTTTAGTACCTGTTGTGACAAGTCTGGGTGGTTCAATCTGAAAAATAAAAGGACTGCTACAATTGTTATGAGAATGAATTATATATATACAGAGTATGCAGAATTTTGTATAGACATGAAAAGAAAAAAATTTCACCTCAAAGTAGTGAGCTTTCATTTTATTAACTGATACTTACCCTTAATCTTGCCCAGGCAGCCCCTACATGCACTCAGCAGTAGCAGTGCCCCTGCTGGAAGGCTGTCCAAGAAGAGTACATGACAAAAATGGAAAGGACACTACTTCATAGAGTTTGGGCCAAGTCACAACCAGCTAGACAGTGTTACAGCTTACTTGATCCAAACCCCCTATACGAAAGCTGATGCAAAACAATTCAAATCCTTTGCTTTCTTCATACAAGTTCGGGCTTCTTCTTGAGTCCTATCTCTGAGTCTACATCTGCTGGGTAAATTCCTGTGACAACTTGAGCTATGACAGAATTTATAGCATTGCTGAGGTCCAACTACAGCTCTGCAAGATGAACTCACCATATCTAAGTGGTTTTTGGACTTCCTTTAAAATATTGTAATTATGAGAACACCTTTCTCACCTAATTTTACACAGATTCTGATCACTTTTGATCAGACCAACGTCTCTCCCTTTAGCCATGAGTGAAAATGAAAGACTAACTGCTTTTTAGGTTCCCTTCTTGGGCAATCACAGATTAATTCATTTCTTGGTCAATGATTTTGTACGCTAATGGGGGTTGGTCCCAGAATTGCAATCTGGAATGTATACATATGTAAGCCCCATTATCTGTGGCCCATTCATCATTGGCCACCAGTGCCTTGGAAGAAGGATGCCGTGGGAAGGAGGAACTCTAGGGCCTTGAGTGGCTGCAGTAAACGTGGAGAGCATGCCCACAAAGCCCACAAGGCTCCCGACAGTCTTCAGTCTTGAAATCCCCCAGGTCACTAACTCCCTTTTAAAGAATACTGAGGGGTCTAAGGCAGGCTGAAATTAGACCAGGGATGTTTGAGGCTGCCTTTGAGTGTTCAATCACTCCGTACTCCTCAAAATCTAAGACCAAGAAGGCAAAACAGCTAGTGAGATGAAAAGAAGGGGAGTAAGACCAGAGCCCCCGCTGTCTTTCTAAGCCTTCTGAGGCCACTTGTCTGGGATGTGGTAGCTAACAGGTGAGCCTGAAGAAGCCAGTCCGTCTTCAGTGTGCTAGGTGCTAAAGAATCTGGACTTGAAATTCAGGTTCCTGTCATGAAGCAAAAGAGAGCTAGTCTGAGAATAGGTGTGCATTAGTCAGCTGTGAAGAATTAAAACTATATGTAACACCAAGGAAGCAAGTAAGAGGGAAGAGAAGGGAACAAAAAAGAGAAGAAAGAGGTAGGGGTCATGGAAGGGGCAGCAAGGGGATAGAGGGTGGGGGCAAAAGTGGTAGTTTATTCCAAGAATAAATAGATGAAGGGGATAGGCCAGAGCTACGCATTTAAGACATGGAAGGTTCTGAAGATAAGTAAATGTTACATGAGATATCTGAAATACTGTTTATCTGTGGCTGACAGGCTTAATCTGTGCTCTGAGAACAGCTTGTATGAGGAGGAGGTGAATAGATGAGAAGAGATGAGGGAGGAATTCTTACAGAAACTTCAAAAAGTCTGATGGACCCACTTTTAGAGCTATTCAAAACTATCGAACTGTTGGCATTTGCTAGAAAAGTTTCAATACCAACCACTGTGTTAAATGAGCACCAGACCCTTAAGGGCACCTTGGATCCCATCCTTCTTTCTTGTTGTTTTTCCTATTTGCAGTTCCCCTAAACCTGAAGTGTTCAAGGATTCAACATCTGCCACTTCACTCAGTCCATTAGTCCATTCCTGGGCCTCTGGAACAAACTCTTCACTCAAGAATCTGTTTTAGCTTTATTTATTTATTTATTTATTTATTTATTCATTCATTCATTCATTCATTCATTCATTTGCACGCACAGGGTCTCTCACCCATCCTCAGCTTTCAGGGACCCTGCTCTCCAGGCCATCACTACGATCTGCTTTCTCTTCTTGCACCACAGTATTTCTGAAGAAAATCCTAGGAGGAATAGGCCAGGTCCAGCAGGAGTGGATGCTCATTAGCTGCATCCAGCTCTGGCCTCTGCTCTCTTGGACTCCCTGTATCAGTCCTCAGATTGGTCCTGAATCTTCTTTTTTTTTAAAATCTCCCCAGGTAACTGAGCTGCAGTTCCCCACTCCCCAACCCCGGCCTCTCTTCTACTCAGGTAAGCCAGCCTGGCATTTGGGGCACACCTACTCTCATTTGCCTCTTGGCTACCATTCAGAGCCCTCTCATTCTGGAGAACCTAAAAGCGAAAGGACATTACGGAAACACCTGATCTCTTTCCGTGGGTGGCTGTTAACACTGAGTGTTAATGGCATGAAAAGGGTTTTCCTGAGCCTGTCAGCAGACAGCTGGCATTACCACTGACAGTCCTAGCACTGGGTGAGGATGGAATCCTTTTCAGCTCTGGAATGCCTTTTATCCTCAGTGTTGAAAGCTTTGCGGAAATTAGGCCAGGGCTTGTGAAACAACTCAAGCCTGGTCACAAACAACCCTGAAACTCTAAGCCAGAGCCTCCTTGTACTTTCTTTAGCTGGCATTTCGAAGTCCTTGACCCAGCTAAAGGGCTTGGAAGAAGCCTTTTCACAGTGACATGTTCAGATAAGTTAAATCCCCTGAAATTCGGCACCATGGGGTTGCATCTTCAAGGTCTGATGTACTTTTATTGATCCACGGGCTCTGAAGTAGTCCAGATCTGAGGGAACATTGTGAAACCTTCAACCTCAGGAAGAGTCTCCCAGTGCTTCGTCCATCCATGTCACATAGAAAAGCCCATAGGAAGTATTGCCCTGGCTATGACCTGACTGAGGGTACTGAGTCACTTTAGTGACCTGGAAAAATTACCATGGTACTCAAATTCTTGTTTCTCTCTATTAAGAAATCACTTATAATCTCAATTTTAAAAATCTCAATACTTCCCATGTTTAAGTAGCTTGATTCCCTGGGTTCGTCTGAATCTCATCAGTACAGTCTTACAGGTGAGGTTACTCTGTTGAAGATTAGAATTTTCCCAATGTTTTGTCACTCCTTAGAGTGTTATTCCGTGTCATTGCAGACATCAACATTCCAGAATTTCATGGACGGAATGTTTGGTTTGGGGAGGCATGGCTCAGAACTTCTCTCTTAAGTACATTGGAGGTTCTCATTTTCTACTTCCTACATAGTTACTAGCAGCCACTTCTCTCGTATGTCTCATCATGTACCCCTCTCCCCCTGTGCGATGAACCCTGTCTGTCCACATATTCACAAACTCTATTCCACTGTCCTTTCCGTCGGATTTTTACCTGCTCACACGCCGTTCCTAC